TTTTTTTTCACTTACAGGACCATTTCCAAAAACGCAATTTTTTCAGGACTAAAACCAAAAACGGGGTCCAATATGGGACTAAAAAATTAATTTTGCCTATATTCTTGAACTACATTACCCCTCTTGAGAATCTTTTCAAACACAAACCAAATTACAGAAATTTTAGGACATTTGGATGTTTGTGTTATCCCTGCACGAGGCCTTACAATAAGCATAAGCTGGAGTATAGATCCTTACCAGGTGTATATCTGGTATACCACAATGCTCATAAAGGTTATAAGGTCCTTTTACCTAAAGGAAATGTTATTGTGACAAGGAATATTCAATTTGATGAGAGTATATTTCCCTTTGCTCAGAAAATGAAAGGCCATTCTGGTTGTAGTGATGATTATGTGCTTGTGACCACACCAACTTTACTATATCCTCTTGTCCAGACAGAACAAACTAGACAACACCCTTCTCTTGCTAAAATCCAAAATCAATCCTCTCCAAACCAGCATTCTACATCACAAAGCACACCAAACAACTCTCACTCTACCCATGATACTATACTTCTGATGGTTTAGTTACCTATTATTCAAGATCCTTATTCTGTCTCTAGTCCTAACAATTCATTGCAGGATATTCATATTGAAGGTGACAAGACTCAGAATGACCAAGGATGCTCTCAGGCTATCAACACTCATCATATGATGAATAGAAAGAAGGCAGGCATCCACAAACCTAAGACTTATGTCAGTGAATCTAAATAAGATGCTCAGCAGGAATTTGAACCAATTCATTTTCATCAAGCAATCAAGCATAAGACATGGAGACAAGCCATGGCAGAAGAGTATGAGGCATTGATGGAAAACAAAACTTGGAATCTTGTTGACCTTCCACAAGGAAAGAATCTGGTTGGCTGCAAATTGGTTTACAAATTAAAGAAACACCCTAATGGATCCATATCAAGATACATGCTTGTAGCACAAGGATATTCTCAATATGCAGGACTAGATTATAAAGAAACTTTCAGTCATCTTGTTAAGGCTACAACTATCAGAGTAATCCTATCTCTTGTTGTCACAAATTCATGGAAGATCAGACAATTGGATGTAAGTAATGCATTTCTTCATGGTGATATGGAAGAAGAAATTTATATGAGGAAACCACAAGTCTATGAAGTTAAGGGACAAGAGGGTCTGTTATGCAAACTTGTCAAAGCTCTACATGGTTTGAAAAAAGCTTCAGGGTCTTGGTTTCATAAAGTGCAACATGAGTTAACCACACTTGGCTTTGTCACATCAAAGGCAGACAATTCCCTTTTCTATCTGAGGAGCAATGAAGATGTTGTATTTCTACTTATCTATATTGATGACATGGTAATCACTGGTAATAATCAATCTCTTATCTCATCAGTGATCGAAAGGTTGCAGGGTTGTTTCTCCTTGAAAGATTTGGGAACTCATCATCATTTCTTTGGAACTGAAGTCACTGAAATTGACAATGGTATGTTCCTTAATCAAAGTGGGTACAATAAACAACTACTGGAGAGAGCTGGAATGCAGAAGAGCAAAGGATAACCAACTCCCATGATTGCTGGGATTAAACTTTCAAAAATTGAGGGAGATCCTTTAGAAGACATCACTTTTTACAGAAGACTTGTTGGTGCACTTCAGTATGTAACAATCACCAGACCAGAGTTGGCATATAGTGTCAATAAGGTATCTCAATTCATGGTAAATCCCCTTCACACCCATTTAAAGGCAGTAAGAAGGATTTTGAAATACTTGGCTGGAACTTATAATCATGGCTTGCATATCAAGAAGTCTAAGCTGATCTCCCTAGTGGATTCTCTGATGCTGAATGGGCTAGTGACATTGATGACAAAAGATCTGTCACAGGCTTTTGCATTTATATGGGAGAGAATCTAGTGTCATGGGCATCAAGGAAACAAGGTTGTGTTTCAAGGAGTAGTATAGAAGATTAATATAGAAGTTTGGAACATTGTACAACTGAGTTAGTGTGGCTGCAATCCTTGCTGAAAGAACTCGGAATAAAAGTTGAAGGAACACCAATAGTGTGGGTTGACAATGAAAGCACAATATCCTTGGCTAACAATCCTGTCATGCATGCAAGGACCAAACATGTTGAAGTTTACATCCACTTCATTAGGGAGAAGATAGCTCAGAAAATCTTGAGTGTTCAACATGTTCCAACTCATGAGCAAATAGCTGATATCTTCACTAAGCCACCCAGTCATCAATTCTTCACCAAGCTAAGGGATAAACTTACTGTGACTTGCTTACCTCGGCTTGAACTGAGGGGTGCATGAAATTACCTTTATCTTCATGCTTACCTTACCATGATGACGTCCAACATGATGCTGCATGTGAAGACAAGGAAGTAGCAACACCTGAGGCATGCATCTGCACATTGCCAGCTAGCACTCCCAGCCAAAACAGTGCAACGACTCTTTTGTACCCTACCATCTCACACCATGCACGTGTAGGGTATATATTGAATGCTGAGAATGATTTGGATAGAAATGATGGATATTAACCACAAATAGGATGCTTCTAGATCTTTGTTCTAAAATGAATATAAGGCTAGCATTGTAATCAATGTTCTTATGGTGAAAGAAATACATAAAAGATATGAACCCTAATTTCATGTTCATGTCATTTACCTTCGGTTTTTCCATATTTTCTCACAACTAGAAACAACAAATTTGCTGAGAAGCCAGCCAACCAGTTGAATCTAGGAGGGAGAACTACAGAAAGTGTAGTCTAAATCCTACCTACCAACAACATCCAAAACACAACACACAAAAACAACCTAGAAGCTCCCAATAGAGGAGAAAGGAAAACTCCCACAAGGAGAACCAAAAAACAACATGAAACATAAACACTAACCAACAACACACAAGACACAAAACAAGAAAACACAAAAAAGAACAGAAACGACAAAGCCCTCCCACCCGGACTTCAAACCCCATCACCCGTTGGACCAAGCAAACACCGAGATGAAAATAGTCGGAAGAAGCTCCAGAAACTACAGTCCAAGACGAACCATTGATATGAACTGCCTCCTGAACTCGCAAGCCCAGCCCAGGCCAAACCACTGCCACAACCCCCCTCACGCAAACTCTAGGGCCGACACACGAACTGTCACCGCCGCTGGAGGTTCCGACCACCCAAACAGCAGGGGAGGCTGGAAAAGGAGAGTCCATGGCTGGTTTACCACCACAAACATCCTTAGACGCCCGCAACGACCGCCGAACACCAACTAGAGACCTCCACCTTCGAGCTCCGACCACTATGGCTGTAACACCCCGAGTTTATTAATAAAGGGAAATACTAGCTTTTAATTTTAAGCTAGCCTTTGTTAATAAATAATCATGTTCATGTTCAAGTTCAAGTTATCCAGTTAGTTATATTCCAAGTTCGACTATTAGTCGATAAATTATTTGGTTAACTATTTCAGTAACCGAATAAGTTTCCAGATTTAATTCCGATTCATTTATTAATTAATGAGTTCGGAATTAATAAGTCAAGT